CGCATGTTCCATCAATACATTTTTCAAAAGTCTCGTTTACATTTTAAACTTTGGCCGTTCGTATCCCCAACAAGAACCCATTCTCTTGGTGTCTTATCAATAATTTATATCTTGTCTGAATCGGACTGCTTATAGGAAATAAGTGGAAAGAAGTAAGTCTTTTCTAGAAGAGGCGCTTTCCGGCATTCTAAAGAACCTGGCATAAAAATTATCGGCCGCGCCCTTTTCAGCCCACCCACTTTTAGAATGGTGTACGGTGCCTGTTCTCATACATGGTAACTTTATATTGTAATAAGATGATTCCCATACACAGTAACTGAATCTTGTAATAGGATGATTCCCACACACAGTAAATGTAGTAACTGTATCTTGCAATAAGATAATTCCCATACACAGTAACTGCAGTAACTGTACCTTGTAATAAGATGATTCCCATGCACAGTAAATGTAGTAACTGTATCTTGCAATAAGATAATTCCCATACACAGTAACTGCAGTAACTGTACCTTGTAATAAGATGATTCCCATGCACAGTAAATGTAGTAACTGTATCTTGCACTAAGATGATTTCCACACACAGTAATTGAATCTTGTAATAAGATGATTCCCATGCACAGTAAATGTAGTAACTGTATCTTGCAATAAGATGATTTCCACACACAGTAACTGAATCTTGTAATAAGATGATTCCCATACACAGTAAATGTAGTAACTGTATCTTGTAATAAGATAATCCCAATACACAGTAACTGAATCTTGTAATAAGATAATTCCAATACACAGTAACTGCACCTTGCAATAAGATGATTCCCATACACAGTAAATGTAGTAACTGTATCTTGCAATAAGATAATTCCCACACACAGTAACTGAATCTTGTAATGAGATAATTCCAATACACAGTAACTGAATCTTGTAATAAGATGGTCCCAATACACAGTAACTGAATCTTGTAATAAGATAATTCCAATTCACAGTAACTGAATCTTGTAATAAGATGATTCCCATACACAGTAAATGTAGTAACTGTATCTTGCAATAAGATAATTCCCATACACAGTAACTGCAGTAACTGTACCTTGTAATAAGATGATTCCCATGCACAGTAAATGTAGTAACTGTATCTTGCAATAAGATGATTTCCACACACAGTAACTGAATCTTGTAATAAGATGATTCCCATACACAGTAAATGTAGTAACTGTATCTTGTAATAAGATAATCCCAATACACAGTAACTGAATCTTGTAATAAGATAATTCCAATACACAGTAACTGCACCTTGCAATAAGATGATTCCCATACACAGTAAATGTAGTAACTGTATCTTGTAATGAGATAATTCCAATACACAGTAACTGAATCTTGTAATAAGATGGTCCCAATACACAGTAACTGAATCTTGTAATAAGATAATTCCAATTCACAGTAACTGCACCTTGCAAAAAGATGATTCCCATACACAGTAAATGTAGTAACTGAATCTTGTAATAAGATAATTCCCACACACAGTAACTGAATCTTGTAATGAGATAATTCCAATACACAGTAACTGAATCTTGTAATAAGATGGTCCCAATACACAGTAACTGAATCTTGTAATGAGATAATTCCAATTCACAGTAACTGCACCTTGCAATAAGATGATTCCCATACACAGTAAATGTAGTAACTGAATCTTGTAATAAGATAATTCCAATACACAGTAACTGCACCTTGTAATAAGATCATTCCCATACACATTAACTGCAGTAACTGTATCTTGTAATAAGATAATTCCCATACACATTAACTGCAGTAACTGTATCTTGTAATAAGATGATTCCCATGCACAGTAAATGTAGTAACTGTACCTTGCAATAAGATCATTCCCATACACAGTAACTGCAGTAACTGTATCTTGTGAAAAGATAATTCCCATACACAGTAACTGTATCTTGTGAAAAGATAATTCCCATACACAGTAACTGTATCTTGTAATAAGATGATTCCCATGCACAGTAATTGAATTTTTAACAAGATGATTCCCATGAGATGAAGAACGATTTATTGCTTGACGTCAAAGGTGATACAGACATGTCGGTGGTGCTGAAATTAACTTGCACCTTACTCTTAGTGATCATAAATTTCCAAGTAAAGAAGATTGTATTTGTTGGCTCAGATTCAATTGGGTTAACTATCGCAGGAAAAGAAATTGCTAGCAGCAAGGAGACGTTTATATTATCCAGTTTATGGCAAGCTAAGAGAGCGAAGCGCGATATTCATGTCCGAAGCTCGAAGCAAAGTTTCCCTTGTCTCCTAATTCTGATGAGTGGTGATATAGAATCGTGCCCTGGTCCCTACAGCAGAGACATCCCGGCTTTGAAACAGTTACTTAAACAGAGAGGCTTGGAAGTTTTCCATCAAAACGTGCGTGGATTGTTTTCTAACATAAGCCTTGTTTCAGAACTTTTTCAAAGCTTCAGTGGGTTCGATATACAGTCAACTCTCGCCTTACGGACACCCCGATATAACGGACACCCCCCTATTACGGACACAAAAAAAATCCCCGACTGAAATACAAAGAAATGACTGGACGTAATTCTCGCTATAACGGACTCTCGCTATTACGGAAATGCGGACACTACGTGTGGTCCCATTTGAACATTTAAAATATTTAACTCTCGATAGAACGGACACATGCTGAATATAACTGTCAGATTAAGTGTTAATTAAGAATATTGTTAATTAAGTGTCAATCTTAAGCATCCATTGTACAATCTATTTCCGCGGAATTTTAGCCGTGTGTTGATTTTTAGCAACAGATTTGCGTTTTCCAGGTGGTCGTTTCAATGACTCCTCGCTTGATATCCCTTCTGATTCTAAACGCAACGCCTTTTTTGCAGTCTCACTGCTCTTGATCAGGATATCGAGTCTCTCTAAGAAATCTGCTTTCCCATAAAATTTAAACATAACTGGAATCTCGAGTCCCAATCCAGCCCCTCTGTTTACTCGCTTGCCACAAATAACTGCAACCCCACTGTTGTATTCTCGTTTCAAAAAAGAAGAAACGATTTTAGATAATCCAAAGGGGATGTGCCCAACAATGCGCCCATTTTCTTCAATAATTGCCACAGCATTTCTGTCTCTACCATTTTCTGGTTCTCGTTGAAGTACTAATGGTTCTTTAGGAATAAGAAAATTAGCCGAGAAATACATGTGTGGAAAGACGCAATTAAGCAAAATCATCAAAAACAAGGTATCAGTAAGAGAACAATATGAAAAAGGACTTCCTCAAGGAAAGAAACGAAACCGTACTTCTCAGTTTTCAGATTTAAACGATGCTGTCTGCAGTGGCGTAGCGTCCGGGTATTCAAGGTATTCAGTGAATACCCTGAGATTTCTCAGAAACAATATTAATACGACGTATAATTGTAATAAGTAAAAAATGTTTTGCGGCTATTGATTCTGTTTGAATTCGTTACCTCCGATATTTTACATTTTGTACAAGTACAAAATATCATCAAATTCATGGAAACAATAACGCTGCGAAGCATAGAGAAGCTGGGAGATCTTTGAAGCTAATTTTGAAGATTGAGCTACTTCATGTTGTATGGAGATCGGTCATGAATACGCAGTGAATACCCTAGCCCGTACTTTAACCAATCAAAATGCTCCTTTCCATGAATAATATTTGCCGTTAATCAGCTAAAACAATGGTTCTGTACGCTGAGAAATATGCAGCGTACAGCCTCAAAGTTGGTTCAAAATAGTCTCGTTATGAGATCGATATAAACAGTTAATGAACGTCGGAGCGGTTGGAGTGATGGAGCTGCATCGAAAACAGTAAACATGACTTAATTGAAAAACTATTGCAATGTCCGTATTACTGTTTCATAATCATTCTCTCATTTGACCACTAAACTTAATCTACCAACAGTAAAGTGGAAAGGAAAGGTAGGCTGCTACATAATACTACACTGACTCAGATCTGTTCCCTCTTGAAATGCCAATTTGTTATTGCTTGCAAATCAGGGATGTTTCTGTTTGTATTATGTGATAGAATTAAAGTAAATGCAGATAGGCCTAGATAATATCCTTATAGTTGCCTGGTGTATTCAGTTATCTCGTTGGCCTATTTTGTTTGCATTATTCGAGCGCATTTATTTGCATTATTGTGCAGTCTCATCTCATTACCTTCGATTCTTTCAAATATTTACTTGTATTGAAAATATCACGATTAGGCCATGAAGAAAAAGTCTGTGCTGCATACCACAATATCATTTATAACTTATGTAATGCCCTATGTGAATAATTGTGAAACTTTCGAAAGCCCTTTTGTATTAAGGTATCAAGAGAAGGTGTTTACAGTTACTTCCTCTTTACATCAGTGCAAATGTTAAACGATTCAACAACAACTATTGGGACATATTTCGACCAGTAAAATTTTACTGGCTTTCAATGATATGTTTTGATTTGAATTACTTTTGATGAAATGGTTAGTGGTAATTTGATGCAACGAATGAGTTTGAAGAGTATATTTGCGTTGGGTTCTTTAGCAAAGTATCGTTTTCATCATAGTAATGCCCTGACAGTGCAGTACTTGCCAACCGAACCAAAAAGAAAATTAGATAAAATGTCAATAGCTAGTCCTTTTAATCTTCCTATTATCCCCCTATTTTCATCAAGCCCCATCGAGCCACACCCTGCCCCACCCTTTTGTTTAATAGAGAATATCCAGTTGAAAAAGTCACGCTACGCCACTGGCTGTCTGGGAGTGGTATAAAAACAAGAATGATCAACTAATTCAAGTTGATGGTCCAATGATCCAGGAATTTGCATCTCAAGTTGCCGGAAAGCTAGGTTACATTGATTTCAAAGCCTCGAGTGGTTGGTAGACAAGATTCAAAGAACGACACAATCTTTCACAACACAAAGTTTGCGGAGAATCTGCTGATGTTGCAGTGGATACAATTAAGTCTTGGAAAGAGCGGCTTGGCTCAATCATTTCTGGTTATGAAATGCAAGACATTTGGAACTTAGATGAGACTGGCTTCATCTATCGTGCTCTTCCAGACAAATGCCATTTTGCCAAATCAAAGAAATGTAAAGGTGGTAAGAAATCCAAAGAACGTCTGACTGTTGGCCTGATGACCTCTGCAACTGGAGAAAAGAAGAAACCAATAGTTATCGGAAAGTATGCCAATCCAAGGTGCTTGAAAAATGTCCACAGAGAGGGCCTTCCTTGTCAATATTACAGCCAAAAGAATGCATGGATGACCTCCGACATTCTGCATAAGATCTTGAGTCAATTTAACAGGGAATGTAAAGCGAAAAAAAGATCAATTTTGTTGGTTCTCGACTCAGCTGGTTGCCATCCGTATGATTTGAAGGGACGCTACTCGAACGTCAAGCTCGTGTTTTTTCCTGTAAATTGCACATCTGAGTTGCAACCTCTTGATCTCGGCATTATTCAAAACTTCAAAGTTCATTATAGAAAGCTTTTGCTACGCTTCATCATCGCAATGACCTCAAGTGAAAGGAACGCCTCAGAGATCAGCAAATCACTCAACGTATTACAGGCAATGAATTGGGTGGGGGAAGCATGGCATAATGTTAAGGTGACAACCATCAGTAAGTGTTTCAATTCTGGGGGAATTTCCAGCAATACACTGATAGAAGACGAGGAGGCAGATCCCTTCAGTGACCTCGATGACATCGATGAAGATCTCGAAAATCTAATTAAAGAAGTTTCACCCGAAACCACCATCACTCCATATACATACCTGCTATCAGATACCGAGCTGCCTATATGCTACTGCATTGATAATGAAAAGGAACTGCTAGATTCTTTAGTGATAAATGGGCAAGTGGAAGTGGTTATATCAGATGATAATGATGATGATGATGATGATAATGATGATAATAATATACACGAAGTCACTCCGACCACCAGCTTGAAGAGCTATCACGATGTTGCAAGGTCGGTGAGAGACATAGAAGTTTTTCTCATCCAGCGTGGTCTTGCGACGATAGCAAGTAAATTCGCATGCCTCAGTAGTAAAGTTGCAGCACATGCACTGAAAAAGCAATCACACCAGACGACGCTTGAAGAGTACTTTTTACAACAATAAAACTACAAACTACAAAATGATACAAAATTTATAAACTCCAGCACTACAAATCTCTGTTAACAAAATTACACGATTGCTATTGATTAAAAAAACTTAATAATTTTTCAACCAATAAATTAGTGATTTTTTCTCATCCCGCTATTACGGACTCTCGTTATTGCGGACGCAACATTTTGGTCCTGATAGTGTCCGTAATAACGAGAGTCGACTGTACTGACCCTTAGTGAAACTCACATACAGAAAGACAGTGAAAATAATGGACTGTATGATATCCCTGGTTATTCGTTTGAAAGCCGGCCACGAAATTCTGGAAAAGGGGGCGGTGTTGGTGCCTACATTTCCAACAAGGTACCCTGGGTCAGGCGAGAAGCCCTTGAGGACAAAGAATTGGAAATTATGTGGATTGAGGTTTGGCCTAGTCGTAAATATTGCAAAGGTATTTTGATTGCAATAATGTACCGGCCTCCAGATAGTTCCAAATACCTGCGAAAGGATTTCAACGCACGCTTTAATTCAATCTTAACAAAGGCTGCAGAAGAGTGCATAGAAACTATGATTCTTGGCGATGCAAATATAAATTTTCGAATTGAAAATGACAACAAAAAGCTGAAATCAATCTTCAGTGTGTTTGGTTTGAAACAAATTATTGCAAAGCCCACGAGGATATCAGAAACTACAGAAACTTTAATTGATGTCATCCTTACAAATTATCCTTCGAACATCGCAGAACATGACGTCATACCGACCAGCATTGGAGATCATGACATGCCTGGTTGCGTTCGTAAAATAAATAATAGTTCTTTTAGACCAAGGCTTTATACTTGTCAAGATTATAAAAATTATAATCCGGAAAATATGAAATCAGATTTACAAAATGTGGACTGGGCTCCATTCTATAACCAAATAAATGTGAACGAGGCTTGGTTGATGATGAAAAGCATCCTTCAAAATATATTTAATCATCACGCCCCGAGAATATTCAAGAAAGTAAGGGGAAAGCCAGCACCGTGGCTAAACAGTGAGGTGAAGCGTCTTATGAATGAAAGAGATAAACTGTTAAGAAAATCAAGACTTACTAAAAATCAAACAGACATCTCAGCATATAAATGCATGCGTTATACAGTAAACACTGCTGTCAGAAAAGCCAATTCAATGTACCACAAGGATTTATTGAAAGAAAATTCAAGGGATCCACATAGGTTTTGGAAAACACTATAATCAATTTACCCCACCAAGTCGAGCGACAAACAATGTCCTCAATTTTTCGAAATTAACGGCGATAAAGTAAAAGACCAAAGCAAGATAGCAAACGCATTTTGCTCCTTTTTTGCGAACATCGTAACAACCTTGAAGGAAAAGGCTTTCCCGTTATGTAACTTCATATGGAGAAATCAACCCAACTTACCCACAAAAACAGTTAGAAAGTTTATGTTTAGAAAGGTATCAAAACAGGAAGTTGAGCGTGAACTCAAGTCTATAAAGAGAAATAAAGCAACTGGCTTGGATGATCTGCCACCAGGTTTGATAAAAGACTTGGCTGAGTCAATATCGGCTCCCTTGACCCATCTCATCAATATGTCACTCATGACCAGTACCTTTCCCGCGGACTGGAAGACAGCTAAAATCATTCCTACACACAAATCTGGTGCACGCTCTAGCTGTGATAACTACCGACCAATTTCAGTTTTACCGGTACTATCCAAGGTGATAGAAAAGATTTTCCATCGTCAAGTTATGAAATTTCTAGACACAAACAAGCTCTTGTCAAAATATCAATATGGTTTCAGGCTCAAATTATCAACTGAATATGCGACGACTACAGTAAATCCCCGCATACAAGAACCTACAAAAATAAAAACCTAGAGGCTTTTTTTCCTAAATTATGCACCTTGTAATAAAGAATCTATTTGAGTGTGATGAAATGTAATAGGTTCTTATTCCCAGGGCAAACGAATAGAGTTTTCAATGGTCCTTATTTACTCCCAGATTTTTAAAGAGGAGGTAAAACCAAAAACCGGTATCAAAATTTTCAGTTGTGCATTTTCAGCATATTATACACTTTAACGAAGGAGAACTTTAAAATCGCTTTGACTTTTTAACATAATTATATATAGCAAAATCCAAAATGTTCAAAAATGAAATAAAAGCATTAGAATTCATAATTTTCAATTCCTGAGGACGTATGAGATCATCTCCAGATCCATCCACTGTCATAAGGCAGCCAGTGCACTCAAATGTCTTCCTGTAAATATCTTTGTAATGACGCATTAATAACATTGCCAAAAGGAAAAAACAGGGTTGAATGCATCTCTTTGATAATGAATCCTAAAGTTTTAAATAAGGGATCCTTCACACCCTGAAATTAATCCAAGTACCTTCCCAATAAGAACCTACTTCAGCCTGAACCTCAAAAAAGTAGGTTCTTATATACGGGGATTTACTGTAAATTGTTGGATGACATACGGATAAGCGTCGACAAGGATCAGCTCGTCGGAGCATTCTTTGTTGACCTTAGTAAGGCGTTTGATACCATAAGCCACGCCATACTACTTGAAAAACTTGCGATTCACGGAATAAAAGATAACGAATTGGAATGGTTCAACGACTATCCGTTTTCCCGAAAGGCAGTGGTAGCATTCAACGGTTGTATCTCAGATGAGCAGAACTTGTTAACAGGAGTTCCACAAGGCTCAATACTTGGCCCGTAGAAGTCATGGAGTATTCAAGCATTTTAAAATATGCAGACGATATTGTTCTGTATGTGGCAGGCAAAGAAATTGATTCAATTGAATCTGAAGAAAGGCAAGACAGAGTCGATACTATTTGGAACAGCACAACAAATTGCAAAACAGCGAAATGGGCCACTCAAAGTCACAATATCTCAGCCAACCCCAACGGTAATTAACAACACAACGGAATATAAATATCCTGGCGTCCTTGTGGATACCTCACTTAACTTGAACTCCCATTTTGACAAATGTTTCAAGCATGCATCTGGTAGACTTCTAGCAAAATTAAGGTCGTTCGTGGACAATGCTACAGCTAGTACAATCTATCGTACTATGATTCTTCCAACATTTACTTACTGTGGTTTATTGCAACTGAAGCTCATAAATACGCAAAAAAGCAGACTTTCCTCATTTCATTCTCGTTCATTTAAGATAGTCTATGGTGATGAAACAGCAGACAAAGGGCTCATGTCAGTCATAAATGCGAATAAGATGAGAGCCTGTAAACTTGTGCAAAAATGCCTGGACAGAGATATCTGTGAACATTTTCAGAATTATTTTACTCCGATACAAAATGAAATGGAAACAAGAAGCAACAAATGCATTCTGCGATTACCTATTATTAAAAAAGAATATGCGCGAAAATCGTTTCAATATATGGGCTCTAAAGTGCACAATGAGCTACCTATAGACATACGTCGGACAAGGACACATAAAGAATTTGTTAAAAAACTTAAAAATCATTTTGCAGGAAAGTGACAAACATTATTTTATTTCGATGTGAAATTAGGTTTTATTAGGTATTATAGATCCTATTCTTGTAAGTTTTATAAACGTTTGTAATGTAATAAATTTTCTCTTAATATCATTTAAGGTCTAGGGCACAGGACACACAGTGATAACAGCGATATCGTAATTGTTGAATATTGAAATATTATTAATATTCGTTTTATTATTTTTTATATTATTATTATTATACACAGAGTAACTGTAGTAACTTTATCTTGCAATAAGATGCTTCCTATGTACAGTAAATGTAGTAACTGTATCTTGCAATAAGATGATTCCCATGCACAGTAAATGTAGTAACTGTATCTTGCACTAAGATGATTTCCACACACAGTAATTGAATCTTGCAATAAGATGATTCCCATGCACAGTAAATGTAGTAACTGTATCTTGCAATAAGATAATTCCCATACACAGTAATTGAATCTTGTAATAAGATAATTCCCATAAACAGTAATTGTAGTAACTGTATCTTGTAATAAGATAATTCCCATACACAGTAACTGCAGTAACTGTATCTTGCAATAAGATGATTCCCATGCACAGTAAATGTAGTAACTGTATCTTGCAATAAGATAATTCCCATACACAGTAATTGAATC